TGGAAACAAAATCAAAGTAGTAATACCTTGTCGATGAAGTAAAGCGCCACGGCTCGTTGTCTTATACGCATCTCTTTGCTCTTGAAGTCCCTGGTGTATGCCTCACGAATGCTTTCCACCTTATCTTTCAGTCGTCGCGCAGTTTCAAATTTCTCATAATCCTTCTCACACTGAAAATTAAGCTATTTTACTCGTTTTGTTTCACCAAAATTACCCAGACTTTGATTTCCGAACTGTTCAGAACTGCACGTATCATATGAAGTTGCACTAATACTTTTCAAGGCCTTATTTTTGGCGCTGTAGGCAAATAGAGAAGTGCTGGAACAGAATGAATGTTTGAGGCAACCTTGATTTTCGATGACGGGTTTAGCATAATGTATTTCGGCGTTTGCAGTATATTTTCAGTCCACGAACACAGCCATGAGACAGTGTTGTCGTGCCGCACTTCCTTCCAGTGATGCCCCGGTGGTGGCTGCGGTATTTCAGAATCCCTAAAACCACAACTTTTAAGACACAGACGACGACGGAAAACCTAAATTTGTGAAAAAACCTGGGCTGCAAAGAGCGAAACACTGTACAACAAGCAATCTCACTTTGAACAATTGATGATCACATCCTCGGGGTTGATGCGTCTCTTCAGACGTCCCATCTTTGGATGGCCACCGCGTCCTCGGAATAGACCTGGCGGCTCAATTCGGAAGTTGCCCACCCTCTGCTTATGCCCATCAATATATGCATAGGCGTATATTTTTGCTTCTTCCTCCTTAGCCTGAAAATAAACAAATTTAGCAATCGATATCACAAAATAACTTGAAATTTCACACTGCGATCGTTATGGTTGTTCCTTTCGAGTGCATTCGCCTCTCACAATGAATAAAAATGGAGACCACCCTTACTTTATTTTGAATTTTAAAAATCTCCGGTTTTCAAAAAATACGAAAATGCGGAAAACACCAACTTGTTTGATTTTTTGTTTCTCTTCTTTGCTCATTGCTTTTCTCTCTTCGCTTAGTTTTACGAAATGCGCGTGCATCTGACGGAAATCACAGAGCTTCAGATCGGTGATTTTTTCGCGCTCCTCTGGAGTCATGACCTGGAAAGGAATTGACTGCACGTAAAACTTGCCGACTAAAAGAAAACTTGAGGAAATGAAAAAACCCGGGCGCATGAGGAGGATGGATTTAAATTTGTGGGGTCGTACTTCGGCGTGGAATACTCTTCTAAAATTTCAGCCTTCTAGCTTTTGTGGTTTCCGAGTTAAAAGTGCGGACAAAATGCATTCAAACATACTCGGTAACACATACATACGCGGACAGGGAAGTGAAAACATGCGTTTTGTGTTGCTGTTACACAGCACAAAAAACATAGAAAATTACGGAGATCAACGTGTGCTTAGCAAAATGCTCATACCTTCCTCCAATCCATAAAAAAATTCTTGTTGAAAACTTCCTTCGTTGTATATTCATGATCAAGCATTGCCGCATAAAATGAAGCAACTTCTTCAGCAGCCAGTGAAAGTCGCATCACCTACAAAGAAAAAAACCACGATCTTTTAGAGTAAATGCGCCATTTCACTGTGTTAAAACTCTGAAAGCGAGGAGGAAAAGATAACAGCATTCCGTTGTACACATGTGATCCTTAACTTCCATTTCGGCTGGCACGAATGTTCTCTTATTCGCTCATTTTGCTTTTGTTCCGTTATTTTATGCTACCACTTTTTCGCTCAAATTTATCTTAAGCTTAAGCGCTTGGCAAGAAAAAAATAGGACTTGTTCTGTGAACTAGTGCATTTCTCATTTGTTCCGAGGCACTTCTCGGGAAGTGTGGGAGGAAAACATAGGTGGATCCAGCGTGGTCTCCTGGGCGAGGAGGGGGGGG